CGGGGGGCGGCGGCAGCCCGTGGCCCGCAGCACAGCGCGGTGGTTGGTGTCCACGGCAGCTGCTGGTGGCTCCCGGCCCCTCTCCCCTGCTCAGCCTGGAGAGGAGGAGGCTGAGGGGAGCCCTCATCGCTCTCTGCAACGGCCTGAAAGGAGGCTGGAGCCGGGGGCGGTCGGTCTCTTCTCCCCAGGAACAAGCGCTGGGACGAGAGGGAACGGCCTCAAGCTGCGCCAGGGCAGGGTTGGGTTGGGTATTAGGGAAAATTCCTTCCCGGAAAGGGCTGTCAGGCCCTGGCCCAGGCTGCCCAGGGCAGGGGCTGAGTCCCCACCCCTGGGGGGATTTAAAAGCCGGGAGATGTGGTGCTTGGGGACATGGTTCAGTGGTGGCCTCGGCAGCGCTGGGTTAACGGTTGGACCTGATGAGCTTAAAGAGCTTTTCCAACCCAAACGATTCTGTGGTTCTCCCTAGGTGTTTGAGTACAGCGAGGCCAAAACACTGGAAGAGCTCTTCTACCCCACGTACGACCTGGCCGACTTTTCCTGGGACAGCATCAATCGCACGCTGAACCACACGGCCCTGACGGCCGAGTTCACGGGCATCCCGGCCGCTGACCCCGGTGGCAGCTTCTCCAACGGCAGCCTGGCGTTTCGGGTAGGTCCATGGGGGCAGAGAGGGGGGCTGTACCGCGCCGGCACGCCGTAGGGAGAACGCAGCGAATGCCGCGTCCAAAGCACCTTCTAGAGAGGGAATGTTGCTCCTCGGTGTCCCGAGCGGTGATCGTGCTGTCCCTCTGACCTGTGTCCCCTGCAGGTGACGGCCTATGAGGCCAGTGGCCGTGACGGGCCCCTGCCCAGCCTCCTGCACACGGCAAACAGCTCTAAAGTGGAGTTTGTCCTGGCTGGGGTGGCTCCGCGGGGCAACGGCTCCCGATTCGCGCTGGAGGTGGCCACGGTGGAGGAGAGCGGGGTGGTGCAGAAGCTGCGCTCGGCGCGCTCCATCGACGACGAGTACACTCCCACCATCTTCGAGGTGAGCGCCGGGCTTGGGGGTGTCCCCGGCTGCAGGAAGGAGGGTGAGGGGGATCTGGGGCGACCCGTGGCTCCTCACCCTGGCATGGAGACCATCTCTGGTCCTCGCTTCACCACCAGATGCTCTCCCTGGAAGCCGAGTCCCAAAACGACAGCTCCACGCTCAGCTTCCTGCAGTGGAAGGCGACAGCCTACGGCTCCCAGACCCCCAGGCGCGAGGACAGCATCCAGTGCCGGTCTCACGGCCTGCAAGCAGCCAACTGGACCCTGCCCGCGTCCAGCATCGTCCGCGCCTACTTTGGGGAGAGCGTAGGCAGCACCTACACCGTCAGCGCCATCAACATCTCCTTCGGGGGAGAGGAGGGAAAGGTTTACCAGGAGAAGCGCTACCTTAGCTGGTGAGTGGGGCCCGCTGCGCGTGAAACGATGCTCTCCCAGCCCCTAACAGCTTGCAGCTTGGGGAACTGCGAGGTTAGAGGGTGTCTCTGTTTAATAACGATCCCCTTTCAAAAGTCTGTGTTTTCCTACGATCCTGTAGCAAGGAGTTTTGCAGTTTATTGATGCACTCAGTGCCGGGGCCGGTTCTGTTTCATATCTTTATCGATGATCTGGAGGAGGGGATCGAGGGCACCCTCAGTCGGTTTGCAGAGGACACCCAGTCGGGGGGAGCGTTGATCTGCTGGAGGGAGGGAGGCTCTGCAGAGGGCCCTGGCCAGGCTGGAGCAAGGGGCCCAGGCCACAGGGTGAGGGGCAGCCAGGGCCAGGG